TGGCAACTCAAGCGCTCCCTCACCGACTTCCTCAAATCCTCCTTCTCCCTCACCCTTCCCGAAGACGACATCGTCGTTCGCAGATTCAAGGACCTCAAGAAACGTAAGCGCAATGATCCTTATTTTTTATGCTTAATTTCGGTGTTGTGTTGCAGAAACGTTTCACGGGATCGAATTTTGGGGGAGCTAGTGGATCATATGAAATGCTTACTCGATTCTGTAAGTGTAGATTCAAATGTACAGTTGTTGCATTTTCTTACTGGTGATGAATTTTTTGGCGGATTGATCAAGGTTAGTGCCTTGGTGGATTGAACAGGATGCATTTCTTCGGTCCCCTGGTTTCTTCTTCTTCTTTTTTCTTTTTTGGTTGATTCTCCTCTCTCCTCTCTCATCTCTCTTTGAATTTGATTTTCATTAAGGTGTTAGGAACTCTCGCAAAATATATGCACTGGCTCAGCTGTTCCTTTTTTTCGTGACTGGTCAATAATTAATCAATTCTGTGATATGAATTGATTTGTGCAGTGATGGTTGGTGGATCAGATACCTTATCCTGTGCTCAATGTGGCAAACCTGCCCATCTTCAGTATGATATTATATTTATGTATTATCTTCGATTTTATTCTCAACCATACATTATACATTACATACACACACAAGCACAGTTCAATGTATACTTGGATTGGGATGTTTTTTGTTTTACAATGTTGAGCAATCAATAAACAATTAGGGCATTTAGGAGGATTGATGGATTTTTTATTACTCAGAAATTAACTTATGGAGACCCTTTTTCTTACCTCCCCTGATATTTGAGAAAAATATAGTTAGCGTAATTACACTCAACCTCCCTTTTGGTACAGTTGAGCATGCTATTTTTGTACATCTGTTTAATTTGGATTACCTATCATTCATTAGTTATTTTCATTTTGGTAATGGTTTTGTAACTCTCTTCCAGGTAAATCAACCCTTTAGCCTTACTAGACTTCTGTCACTCCAAGTTTTCAAAATTTGTAAAGTCTTACGTCTCATGAACAATTAAAGTGGAAGCTGAAAGTTTTATTTAATAAGTGATTATTAAATTTATAAAATTGATGCATTCTCCTTCGGGCAACAGAAACACCATTATTAACTTTCATGTTTTCAACCTCTGTGCGAATGAGATGCAAAATATGCGGCAACAGCTAGAGTACTTGCAGGCTGAACTTAATAAGGAGCTTTCTCGAGAACTACATGAATACCACAGCAGACGTGCTGTTGTAGAGCCGAGAGAAACAGATGCTGAAGTACGCTAATATAATTCCTTCTTTATCATTGAAGAAGAAAAATAAAAGAATTATATATATATTGCAATTTTAACTTTCCTCTTTATTGCCACTAAATTGTGGTCAACAGACCATATTTATTGAGGTTTTGGTCATTACAATAGTTTGATTGATAGCTATTTTTTTTGGTCGGCGCTTGATTGATAGTTATGTGACATTTTCTATCTCAGGATGGCTCCTGTTTTGTTAAAAGGGATGGGCTAAAGAGGGGCTTACAGAGCATGGATGCATCTGGTTATCCCATGGGTGAAGCCATGACAGGTAAGCTACTTAGTTGTGAGATTATTTCAGATGAATGAGGCTGAAAGTAGAGGGGAATAAGCTTCAAGATGCCATACCCTTAGTTAATGCATGACAGACTTTGATTTTTCTGTCATTTAGTTGGCATGTTATCAGTTTTTATATTACAAGTATGTGTAAGAGAGGTGTGTTTAGTCTCTAAAACATGCAACTCATATTGCACTTTTCTAGTTCAGTTCTTTATGTTTCAAATGAATTTTCCAAAAATTGCAGGTGAAAATTACATGGAAATTGATGAAGCTGTAGCAAAAGAGTGGGAGCATGCACTCCTGCGAACAACGATTGGCAAAGAGTTTAATGTGTTAAACAAGCGTTTGGAGCAGAAAGAGGTTTCACTGATGGGCTTTGTTTTATGCAGTTTTCTGCCATACATTTGTTATGATATAGGCTCAACCCTTAACGGAGAACATATGTTAAACATCTAATATGCCTTTTTTTTTTCTAGTCCCCTGCATAAAAACTGGTTGTTGGGTCACACATCTTGAATATTCAATTTTTTCTCTATGAAAGTTGATACACCCAAAGCTAGTGTTTTAGTCTGTTATTTATGACATAGGCTTAAAGGAGAATACAACTAATGTACCTCTTTTTTGAGCAAAACTGCTGTTTTCGACCCTTACAATTTTACCCAAACTACAAGGGTGGATATGCCCAGAGCTAATGTTCTAATTTGTAATGTAAATAATTCTGCTATATATATATATATATATATATATTTTTGGCTTAGGAAGCCTATTCCCCATTTTTTTCACTATTCCTTCCAAGAGATACAACCGAGATGAAACTACAGGCTTGGGATTCTAATTTCTACAAAGTGTCTTGCTTTGCATCCTTAAAAATATATTCTTACTTTTTTAAAAGCTGCTGTTGCCTTATTTTCAAAGAATATATTGATAATAGTGGCCGTTTAGTGTCATTCTTATGTCTACACACATTGATACATGTTCACATGATGCTTGTATGGGGCTGTCCACACACATTGATATCCATTAGGAGCTCAGCACTTGTCAGGGGAAAAGTATGAAGAGTGCTTCTAGTGGTTTGTTTCACACGATACATGCATGGGGCTGTCCACTCACATTCATATCCATTAGGATCTCAGCACTGTGTCAGGGAGAAAATATGAAAGAGTGCTTCTAATGGTTTGTTGAAAGACAGAACTGATTATGATTATCATACATAATTAACGTCTGCGAACATGATAAATGTTTTTGTAAATTCAGGATCATCTTTCTAACACGCGTTTCACATGGGATTCAATATTAAAGAGATTGATGTTAGAGGCTACATGATATCTTCATCACTGCCATTGCCTGTTTATGCATTCAAGATTCAATGTTTATATCTTTAGCAGTATTTTTTATTTCTCTCTTGGGATAGAGCTCCTCCACTTCTTTATATATATATGTGTGTGTGTGTGTGTATATATATTTTTTATTTTATCCTTTTAATGTTTCATTTTATTAAAATAATGTAGGGAGACATGTTTTGTGGGTTACATGAATCCAAGGAACACTAATCAATGATCTTCAACAATGAAAATCTAACGACCAACAAAAAAGAGAAACTCCACAATGCCAACTTAAATGTAGCAACATAATTACTAGAATTAGTACCACTGGAATCTAAAGTATTTTTTTGCCTGCTCATTTGATCTGCCACTGTAATTTTTACTGAACAATTTTTGTGAAATTTATTTGATTCCTTGGAAATTTTTTATATTTGACAATTGGTGAATAATGGAAATAGATTTTATTTTGTATTCCATTCTTGCAATTTACACTGTTTTTCTTAAAATTGTTTCTGTGATTTATGTGTAGTAAAAAATGAAACATTTTGGAGGGTCTGACACTGAAGCACTTAGTCAGCACTTTGAGAAGAGAATCTTGAAACTCCCAGAAGAGAAGAAAACAATCCAGGTTATATGGAAAAATTTTAAAATTTTTCATTGTTAGTTGTCTATTTCATCACTACAGAGGGTGATGATGGTCTGTGATAACTACAGCAAGAGAGGGACCGTTTGCTAGCTGAAATTGAAAACCTTGCTGCTGCTTCTGATGGACAAAGGCAGAAAATGCACAAAGCTTATGCACAGAAATTAAAATCACTTGAGACATAGGTATTTTTTGCTCTCTCCAATGTCATTATGCTGTCTCAAACCTTTGTCATTATTTAAATGCTAAAAATTCCGACCCCCAACCCAACTTCAGATTTTAGATCTTAAGAAGAAACAAGATTGTCAGCTTCAGCTTTTAAAGCAAAAACAAAGAAGTGATGAAGCAGCAAAGCGGCATCAAGATGAGATAAAGACCATCAAGGTCCAGAAGGTTTGTTCTCATTCCAATGGTTGTATCAAGCAGACAGGACATAACCATGAAGCTGTTATTTATTATATGACTTTAGGATCCGTCATACTAATTTTCCCTTTCATTTGTAGGTTCAATTGCAGCATAAGATAAAACAAGAGGCAGAGCAATTTCGACAATGGAAGGCCTCTCATGAGAAGGAATTGCTTCAGGTACTTGACGTTTCCCAGTTATCCATGTAACCTGGGATTCTTCACTTTTAAAAAGCAAACATGTTTCACTTATAAAAGTTTTAACTTATGCATGCTTCGGATTTAATTAATCAAAAAGGAAAAAAGAAAAAGAAAAAGAAAGAGGCAAACAAGTTGAACATGTTATTTATGGTATGCACGTATATCATTGAATGTATTGTTGATGACATTTTTTCTCAAGCAGCTAAGGAAGGAAGGCAGAAGAAATCAATATGAGCAACATAAACTGCAAGCTTTAAATCAGCACTAGAAAATGGTAAAGATTTCTTTCGTACAAGTGCTTCAGTAAAATTATCTAGGGCCTTTCTATTTTTATTTTTATTTTTATTATCTGTGTCTGTACACATCACTAACTTCATTGAACAGTAAGCCTCGGTAACTGATATGCTTTGAGACTCACTTTTTATTTCCTTAATTATTCTACATTTGGATAATGCATATGAATTATCAGGCAAGTTTCTAGAGCCTTTGTCAGGTTTGAAGGGCGTTACGGTTTATAGGAAATAATTTCTCATTATGTTTAGTCCAATGTTGATAATTGAAATGCTTAACCAAACCCTCTCCATCTGCTCAAGCTTTTAGATTAGTTGTCTAATAGCATTGCATTTGGATCATCTCACCTCCTACCCTCAAACATAGATACAAGTACAAGAGACTACTATATTTCTGCTTGCATAACAGGTGAGGGAAACATTTCTTGTACATTGCTGTCAGTTGAATTGATTCCTTTTTTCCAACATCATTGTAGCGGGTAATTAATTCAGATGTACATGGGTAATTAATTGATGCTGTCAGTGAGCTACATTGCCCTGAATTACAACAGCCCAACAGTCAGACCAAACACAATGCCTTGACCTGTAGCAGCCCTTCATCCAAACCAATCCCCAAGATTGTTAAAACCAACACAGCAGCATAACATATCAAAACAGATCAGATATCGGAGCATCCCTTCAAGCACCAAAACAGAACAGGCAGGTCAGATTTGCCTTGAGCTACAAAACCCTGAAATACCACAGCCCGACAGTCATACTAGTGTCATGTTTTGGGCCTATAATCTATTACCAGTTACTTGGAGAAGGTGAGCCACCAGATTAGGTGTAAGATGTTATTAAGATGTTATCATTACGCCCTGGACAATTAGGCACCAACCATAATTGTGACAACTGAATTATATAAAGGTTCAATCCTTCATCTACTTTTCAGGTTGGGACTCGTCTAATTGAATTACTGTTGCAAACTGCCTATATACAGCCTCGGGCTGATCAGTTAGCTGATGGTCCACCTGATATTCGACCTGCGTTTGTACACTCATTAAAAACTGTAGTGAAAGAAAAGTAAATATCCATTTTTCATTGTTTTATTGATAGACAAACTTCCTGCTAGTCTTCAACACTTCATATTGTGGTTTTTGTGTTTTTTATTCAACAGGAACATCGGCAGAAGATATGGTGTCATTGAATGTGATCCACTAGTTCGCAAGGGCCTCGAAAGAACTGTAAGTAAATCCATGAGTTTATTTTCTTCTTCTTTAAGATCTGCATTCTAAAGAAGCCTGATTGCTAATAAGCTCTTGCTTCCGCAAAGAAGCAGGTTCTCATGGTCGCGATACTCTTGGGATTTTCCGAGTTCACCAGTTTGAGAAAGTGGAGCAGTTCTGCCTTACTAGTTTTAAGTTCAAATATTATGACAGATTCTTCACACTCTTATAATAATAATAGATATATTAAGTTCAAACACTCTGTAAATTTGTCTTAGCACCACCGGTACATAAATTTTCACTGCATTCAAAAGCTAAAAGCCAAGCAACCCTATATATGCGTAAAATTAATTTTTCACTACATCCACTTGGTTCACAAAATTAATTTTTTTATGCTTCTTTTTTAACTTATATATGCGTAACTGTTTTAAATCACATATAGTAGGTTTAACATATATGACTCTTGGGACATGCACGAGGAAATGATAATGAACTCAAAAGAGTTTTACAAGATGGTATAGAGATTTCCTGCCCTCAGAATTGTAGGGGAATGATGTGTATAATTTTTGGTTATTTCTTCGTTATATTCATTTTTTTTTAATCTGGAGATGCTTGATAATGTTTCTTATAGTACTCATATAGATTATCTTGCCAGGTTTTGTACAGTTCAATGTAAGATGAGTGATTTTGGAATTGGTTGTTTTGTTTGGTTAATGCTAAAAAGTCTGCCACTTGACGCCAAAGAAATTTGAGGGTCCTATATATGGGCTCCTGCTGATGACGAATTGATTTTTCTCTATTTAATTATGCATTTTTCTTTCCTACAAGTATGACATAATTCTCTCTATTGCAGCTAAAACTACCCTATCAAATTGTGGCTATTGTTTCCAGTGCTTTGAATGATGCAGCTGCAAAGAAGTATGATTTGAAAGGATGGTTTCCTGCATCCAGCACTTACAGAGAACTTGTTTCCTGTTCAAACTGCACTGACTATCAGTCCAGGAGATTAGAGATTCGATATGGGCAGAAAAAGGATAGACTAGTAGTTATATTTTTGGATACACTAGTAGTTATATTTTTGGATGGGTGTGTATAGAAAATATTTGGTAGACTACTAGTTATATTTTTCGGTTGATGTACATGGATAAAAATTTTAAACATAATAACAAGTATTTGTTATGTCTTAAATTTTTATGCTAGATGAAATATGTAGTTTGGAATTATTTGTGGATGAAAACTTATAATAGTTGCTGATTTTAATTAAACAGGTTCAGAAATGGTTGATCTATGTGTTTTGTTGAATGTTCATGATTCAATTTATTTGTTGGTTTGAATGATTTTTGCAAATTACAGATTATATTGAATAAATTGGATGGATTATTATGAATTATAGGTTTATTTTGTTGGATGTTGGCGACCAAATGTGACAATTGGCGACCAAAATTTTTAGTCGCGGAATGTGACAATTGGTGACAAAACTAATTTTGGTTGCGAAATGTCACAATTGGTGACCAAAATTTTTGGTCGCAAAATGTCACAATTGGCGACCAAACTAATTTTGGTCGCAGAATGTCACAATTGGCGACCAAAACTTTTGGTCGCGAAATGTCACAATTGGCGACGAAACTAATTTTGGTCGTGGAATGTGACAATTGGCGACTAAGAAATTTGGTCGGCAAAAGGCGACTTTTCGAGACCAAAGTGTTTTAGCGACAAAATGGATTAGTCGCAGTAAATAAATATTTAGCGACCAAAAATTTAGTCGGCAAATGCAATTTTTCCTGACCAACGAAAATTTTGGTCGCGAATTACTTTTGCCGACCCTCAATTGGCGACCAAACTAGAGACAAAAGAAATTGGTCACGGATAACTTTTGCCGACCAAAAATAGACTTTTAGCGACCAATTTTTTTGTTGCCAAAAGTGTTAATTCTTGTAGTGCTACTTGTGGGCAATATTAATATTAGAAACAATAACTACTATACTAATAAACATATTAACTAAACACAATGTTTAGTGGGTCAATAAGTCGAAGAACCAAACTTATCCACCCATATTTTTATGAGTGAGTGATTGTGTGGTAGAAATTAAATTTATGTAGTATAGAGTCCATATATACAATAAATTTGAACCACAATATGACAATTTTTAAATAGTTAAAACTGGATTCATAACATTACTTAATTAAGTTGATTCCACATCAAGTTGTAAATTTTACACGCATGTCTTGTATTTATGCATTTGTTTGTATACTAATTAATATTTCTCCTATTATTGATTAGCGAGTGGTGGGGTTCATTAGTGACTAATGATAGCCATGTGGACTCTATACTAATTAATATTTCTCCTATTATTTATGCATTTGTTTTTGCCAACGAGGATGCCACATAGCTCATTTACAGTAAACATGGTAGCCATGTGGCATTATTAAATAATTTTTCTAGAAAAAGTAAAATGCAAATGCTTTTAAAAAAAAAAAAGAAATTACATGCAATGAGAGAAGGGAAAAAACACATGGAGGGATGAAAGTGACATTTACACCCCCATAATTTTTTATTTATATCTCATTATATACACACTTATACCGTCATATATTTATAATTTTTTTTTCATTCTTCCACTTGCATCTAATTTCCCCTCAATAATAAGGTGGGAGCCATGACCTCTCGTCAGGGCCGGCCCTAAATATAGGCCCACCAGGCTATGGCTAAAGGCCTCTCAAAATAGACCCCAAAAAAAAGCCCACTCCTATTATAGTTTAGTGTAATATATTAAGTATGTTTTAAGTTCAAAATAAATTAAAGAAGGTCCAAACTAACTTAAAATAAATTGACCCATTAAAAAATTAAAAGGCCCATTCAAAATTAAAAAGGCCCATTCTCTCCTCTTATCTAATTCCTAACCCTAACTCTTTTGACACAAATCTTGTCTTTTACTTTCAAAAAACATTTTCGTTGAATAAAAAAAATTGTGAAGAATCCCAAATGATCTAATGATATTTATTAGTTTATTATCAACTTTGAACCCCGAAAATCTCAGGCCCGGGCTTGCCTCTTATAAGTCCATCATGATCTAATGATATTGTGCGGGAAATGAAGCGGTTGAGGGCGGCAACTCGGCCAGTAAGCCGCTGGACCTCCTTAACCGTTCTGGGCGACTGCATTTCAATTAAGGCCTTGATCTTTTCAGGGTTAGTTTCGATGCCCCGCTAACTGACCATGAAACCCAAGAACTTCCCAGATCCCACGCCGAAGGCGCATTTCTCATTTAGTACTTCCATAGGGTGCCGAAGGTCTCTCGCAGGTCGGCCAGATGATCAGTGGAGAGCTTGCTCTTGACTAGCATGTCGTCAACATATACCTCCATGCTCCGGCCTATCTGATGATGAAAGACAGCATTGACCAACTATTGGTAAGTGGCCCCAGCATTCTTCAACCCAAATGGCATCACACGTTAATGGTAGGTGCCTCGGTCGGTGATGAAGGAGGTGTATTCCTGTCAGACGGGTGCATCAGGATTTGGTTGTATCCAGAGAAGGCATCCATGAAGCTGAGCATTTGATGACTGGCAGTGGCGTCAACCAGCAGATTTATACGAGGGAGAGGATAGCTGTCATTGGGGCAAGCTCGGTTAAGGTCGGAGTAGTCGACACAGAGTCGCCATTTACCATTGTTTTTACGAACCAGAACCACATTCGACAGCCATCTGGGGTAGTTCACATTCGTGATAAACTGTGCCTCAAGGAGCTTATCTACTTCAGATGTAATAAGGTTATTGCGCTTCGGGTGAAAAATGCGCTGTTTCTAGCGGATAGGTTGGAAATGGGGCTCAATGCTGAGACGATGGCTGATGAGGAGGGGTCAATACCTGGCATGTCGGAGGGAGTCCAGGCAAACACATCGTTGTGTTCAATCAGGAGGGCGGTGAGGTCGGTCTTGGCTTGGGGGGATAGTTAGCTGCCAATCTTGGCAGTTTTGGCCGGGTTGGTGGGATCGATGAGGACCTCGACGAGCTCGTCCACTGGTTCCCTTTTGACCAGCTCGTCCTCATCTCTGACGTTGAGTCCTTTAATGATCATAGCCTCCTTGAGCTTGACTTCTTTAAGGGAGGCGGCATAACATTCTCTGGCCACGGTCTGCTTTCCCCTCACTGTGCCGACCCTAAGATTGGTGGGCAACTTGATGGCAAGGTGGAAAGTGGATGTGACAGCCTGGAAAGCATTTAGGGCGGTGCGGCCAAGGATGATGTTGTAGGCAAAGGGGCAGTCAACAACAAAGAAGGTGAGCAACTTTGTGGTCTACCGCGGGTACTCGTCGATTGTGATGAGAAGATCGATGGAGCCGATGGAGGTCACCCGGTTACCAGTGAAACCGACCAAAGGGGTTTAGAGAGGAGACAGACTTTCTTCCCCAATCTTGAGCTGGAGGAAACAGTTGAGGAAGATGATGTCTGAAGAACTGCCGTTGTCGATGAGAACTCGTCTGACCTTGTAATTGGAAAGGAGGGCAAAAATGACGAGAGGGTCATCATGGGGGTAACGGATGCTTGTGCATTCAGCGTTTGTAAAGGCGATAGGCTCAGTCCACTGCCTGGGCTGTTTGGAGGGTCGGTCCAATGTGGCAACTTCTTTGTCTGAGCCCTGCCTTATTTTTCTGAGTTTTGCCCACTGAGCCGAGCGGGATAGTCCTCCACAAGCAAGCCCATCGAAAATAACTTTGATTTCTCCAACAGGTGGGGCGGGGTTACCTTGTGCCCGAGGTCGTTGTGGAGGGCAATCACGACCTTGGTTAGGTTGTGCTGGTTGTCGGGGAGGGGTGCGCCGGCGGTTGTTTGTGGTGGGTTCAGTCCGTTGCCTCTGCTGAGGGCGAGTATCTGTGAATCGACTGAGACGTCCTTGACGAATCAAGCCCTCGACCTGATCTTTGAGGTTAACACACTCCTCGGTATTATGGACGTGGTCCTGGTGAAAGCGGCAATATTTGGACTGGTCTTTCCGATTGGAAGGAGTCCGTGCCAGTTTGGGCCATTTTAGGGGGTAGTCCCGCTAGATCTGATTGAGGACTTGTTCCATAGGGGAATTAAGGGTGTGTACCGCTCGAAGCGGCCAGGCGGTCGGGCTGGTGCCAACCGGTCGGCTCGGGGTGGTCGGTCATTGTACTGAGGTGTTTGGTGAGTGTACTGGGTATTCTTGGTTTCTGAGTCCTTTCTCTTCTCTCTGGAGGTCGGGTTTTTGGCTATTGGGTCTTGTCGGGCGGCTAGTGAATCTTCGGCATTCATGTATTTTTGGGCTTTAGAGAGTAGGGTTGCCATGGAGGTCGGGGATTTTTTGAGAGGGAGAAAAGGAAATCAGATGACCGTAGGCCCGCCATGAAAGCCGTAAGGATGACCTTGTCATCGTTTTCCGCTACCTGCAAGACTTCGGTGTTGAAGCGGGTAACGAAACTACGCAGCGACTCCCCCTCGGTCTGACGGATATTGAGGAGTTGGGTTACTGGGCGTTGTTGGAGCTGGGCTCCAATGGAATGGCTGAGGAAGGAGTCACTGAGGTGCTAGAAAGTGGAGACGGAATCTGCTAGTAGTTGACTAAACTAGAGTCGAGCCGACCCCTTGAGTGTTACGGGAAAAGCCCGACATATGATCTCGTCGGGGAATGCATGAAGGATCATGAGGGTTCTGTAAGTCTCCAAGTGATCGACTGGGTTCGTTGTACTGTCGAAAGAGTCGATGGTGGGCATTTTGAACTTAGGGGTAGAGGTTTGTCCCGGATGGAGGCAACGAACGGTGAGTTGGCCGTGGTGGATGGTTTATGCTGTATGTTTTGCATAACTCCTTGGAACTGGAGCTTCATGGCTCGGAGTTCTGCATCCCAGAGAGGAATGCTGTCAACACCGGAGGGGAGCGGGGGCTGGACGCTACTGGCCTCTCCCTCGGGGGTTGGTACCGGGGTCGATGGGTGCAAGGCTTGGGGTGACAGGTTTATATCCGGGAGGGGAGCTCGCAAGCCTTCCAAGTTGGGTGGGTTAGGTTGCAGGATAGTATGACTCGGGGCTCATTCTTGGTTGGGTGGAATATTTGGAGGTGGTGGAGGAGGTATATGAAGGTTTCTTTGGAGTAAAGCATTAATTAGGGCTTGGTTTTGCTCGGCCAAGCGGTTAATGTTGTTGGTAAGTTCGGTGAAATACTGTGGTGGGTTATTCAGATTGGGAGGGTCGGCTTGATGATCGGGAACATTGGGGTGAGAAGCCATGAATCTAGTTGTGACCATCCACCTTCATAGGTGGCAGGAGGGGGTTATTGGGAGAGGGTCTCCGGCGACAATAAGCACAACTGGCGCGCGGAACAAAAACGCTTCCCACAGATGGCGCCAACTGATGATACAGAGGGTCTCTAGACGGAACGAGTCGGACTGATCCACGCTTCCTAAACCGGGGTCCGGATGACCAAGCCCACAGAGGAACCTGCACAAGAGTTCAACGGGGAACGGGAAGTCCCCCAGCGAACCCTCCGACGAGCAGGTTAGAGAGAGAAGTAGAATGTAGGGATGAATTAGAGACAGAAAAGTTTAACCTTCTTCCTGTCTTTAACGTCTGCTTATATCCTCTGGTCATCATTTTGTTGTCCCTTCCGACCTGTCACCTTGGCCGAAAGTCTATGCTCTAGCTTACCTTGTTCATGGTGAAGGCGTTCTGTCCCGACGGAGAGGGCTTGTCGCAATAAATGCTGTAAGGGGCTTCATTAATGGCGATGTGCAGTGGCAATAACTTTGCAGATCTTTATCTGCTTATGTGGCTTGCCCTTCTCTTGACATGTGTCTTGATGTCATTGGTTCTCATTGCTACGTGGGGCTTCGGCAGTGTTGGGCCTTAGTATTTGAGTTATGTATTGGGCCCTAAATGGTGGGCTATAACCTTTATGGCTTTACCCCTGTCAAATTTTATAAGGTAAATTACAAGTACACCTTCTAAGATTTGATTAAAATACGAATCACCCCCTATGATTCGGGAAATTATATTCTACCTCTTGAAATTTCTAATTTCATAACAAATTACCCATTTTATTAATAAATTATCAAGTCAATTAACAGTTTTTAATGATATTACAAATACGTTCAAATTAATAATTTAGGTAATTTTATTATTATATACAAGAGCAATTATGAATTTTATTTTTTTAGTCAATGTTAAATAAAAAAATCTATCACAAAAAATGTCACTTATAAGTTTTAGCGACAATTTAAAAATATTGTCACAAAAAAATTATTAATTTTCAACTTTCTGCAACATTTTGAAAAATTCGTCACTAATTGTAAGTTTTAGGGACAATTTATAAAAATCATGACAAAAAGAAAATCAATAATTATCAAATTTTGATGACATATGCAAAAAAATATCCCCAAAAGTTATTTTTAGCGACAATTTTACTAGAACTTATTTTTAATAAGATTTTATAAGAATTAAGTCCAACTATTATGATTTATTGATAGTTTACCCAAATATTTATTGGGTAAATTGCACATCTTTTCCTGAAATTTAAAAAAATATAATAAGTCTCACAATTTAAACATAATTACATTAGCCTCCCTTTGATAAAAACAAGTCTAGAACCTAGAAAAATCTTTTGAGTTAGTGATTGTGTAGTGGAGATAAAGTTTGGTTAGTGTAAGGTTCATATGTAGAAAAATATCTGAAATATAATATAATAATTTTGGATAATTTTTGAATAGTTAAATCTGAGTTTGTGGTATTGTTGTTTTAATAAAGTTAAAAGGAACTAAAATGAATGTTAATAATATGAAAATACAAGATAAATATACATTTTTGTATGTAAAAAGATATAATATTATTTTTTTTATTCATATAATTAACAAATTAATGATGAAATGAAAATTAAGCGTTATGTGAATTTTCTCCATGTTCTGCTATCAAGAACAATGAAAAATTGAGGCATGAATCTCATTTCTTTAATTTTTAGTGATGCTTTTATTTTACAAAATAAGATTAAAAGACTAATTCAGTAACAGTCTATGGCCTTGTTTGGTGAAACTTTTTTTAAATTAAAAGCTAATAATCAGAAACTAGAAGGTAAAAGCATTCATATCCCAGCTTTCAAATAATAAGTTTTTTTCAACTTATTTAAACTATTTCTGTGTAATAAGTTATAAGTAGAAGCTGCACCAAACAATCTAGCACAAACTCCTAAATTAAAATAAGCTATAATCACGCCCCCAAAACTCCTCCAATTCACATTAATCCACTATTTGCTGAGATCTTCCCTCCAATAGCCTCTCCCTCGCTTGAGTTGCCTGCAACATAAAATTGTCCCCAACAAAATGCTATTAAAATGGCAAAATTTGACAAAAAAACTTCCAAAATCATATAAAGTGGTTGCAAGTTTTTGTTTTTTGTTTTCTTTTACTCTTCTTCTTGGGTGCAAGGTTTTTGGTCCGGTCCTACCAAAGAAATTGCCACTAATATACTGTTTGGATGGACTTTTTAGTGGCTTTTTCGCTACTCCCCTTGTCATTAGTGGTTTTTTTTTTTTTTTAAATTCAAAATATTTTACACTTACGAATTCTATTCAATCAGACAAGATAGACAGAAAAATTAACTTTTGTTTTAAATTTGAAAAAAAAATACTAGATACAACATAGAGAGAAAAACAAAAAAAAAGAGAAGCTAATTACATAACATCAGCATGCTTGGTTGAAATTTTATCATTTGCTGGGACCAGCTCGCTCTCTCGTATTTGAAGATGCTGCTTTATGCACTCAGTATCGTAATCACCAATGCTTGGTTCAGTTTCTGATGGCTCTCATACCCAGTTTAGCTCGTGCGTGCCATCTCTGCTTTCGTCGCACTCCATTGCCCACTCTTGAACATTTTATTCTGAGCTATTATCTGAGGAGACTCGTCTTGGCCCTTTCAAGACACATCATTGTGATATAGTTCTTGCCATTCCGTCAATCACTGAGTTTCTTTTTACACCAACCACCCAATGGCCCACTATTTTGCAATTATTGTCAGAATCGGGGCTTCCTTCTACTCATCTTGCTTTATTGCCCAATCAATCCTGTTGGTACTACAATAAGATTAGTCCTGGTCATCTGCAGCAAGATTACTTCGCAATCCAAACCCGCTCATCTACTACTCACTTCTTCGTGTGCTTCCTTACAAGGTTGTTCACAACGTCCAGGGAATCAGTCTAGATCTCTACCTGTCTCATCGCACTACTACTGTTGCCTCTGAGGGTTTTCTAAGCCTTTAGATCCAACTACTCCTGTCTTTTCCCAAATTGATGTTGAGCTATGTTCCAACAGGTTATCACGACCTTTAGTACACCTCATTCTACTATTCTGTCTGTGACTTCAAGTAACATCTTCCTGTATTTTTGACTGAGTTGTTGCAATCATATATGCTTCTATTCTACTATATTTTCTTCTATCACTTCCTCTCTCAATATTCTCTCCATTCATACTGTTGATGGTTCTCTATGTCTATAAGCATATTGGTTCTGTTTCCACCTCTCATCTATCCTTATCAAATGTTTATCTTATTCATAGTCTCACTTTAAATCTTATCTTATTAGTCAATTATGTGAGCTTGGTCTAACTGTCACATTTTTACCAATAGTTGTTTGGTACAGGACTCTCAGACGGGATAGATTCTGTGATCCGGCCGTAAGCATGGACGTCTCTATGAGCTTATTCATTTTCATGTTCCAGGCTCCACATCGATAGCTGCTCCTACATTTACTTCCAACATGTCTCCTTTTAATATTTGCATTGTCTTTTAAGACATATTTCTGTTAGTCGATTGCAATATTTAGTTTCTACTGGTTAGTTAGGTCATGTCATTCCCGATACTTTGGATTGTTTATTTGTCAACTTACAAAACAACCTATTTATCATTTAATGCAAGTACTTGTGTTTCTTATGCACCATTTGATCTTATACATTTGATGTTTGGGACCATCCCTTACTACCACTATGGGGGATCACGTTACTTTGGTTGTTTTGTTGATGGATTTTCACGTTTTATATGGTTGGTTTCTCATGAAAAGTCGCTCTGAACTCAAACAACTTTATTACAATTGTGTAGCATGATCTAAAACCGCAATTTTCTAAAACCATTAAAATTTTTTCAATTTGTTAATGTTTATGGAATATAGGATTTTGATTTTATCTCATTCCTTCAGCATCACGGTATACAAAAATCAAGATCTATTCTGATGGCTCTATTGAGCACTACAATGCTCGTCTTGTTGCAAAGGCTTCACCAGGAATATGCATTAATTATGAGGATTAATTATGAGGAGACTTTCGCTTTGGTTGCTCGGCTTACCTCTGTTCAGCTTACTTATTGTTGCCGTTGCTCGTCGCTAGGTGCTCTTTCAGATGGATGTCAAATGTTCCTTTAATGGTGATCTTTTTTGAGGAAGTCTACATGCAACCTCTCCCTGGGTTTGCTTATCCGACTCATAAGGTTTGTAACTACAGCGTGCTCTCTATGGTCTCAAGCAAGCCCCACGAACTTGGTTTGCTAAATTCAGTTCCACCTTCCATGACTTGGCTTCACCTCCAGCTCATATGACTCTGCTCTATTTGTTTGGACCACTCCTCATAGCACCACTCTTCTTCTTCTGTGGATGATGTGATTATCACCCGGTGATGACGTGGCTAGTATTCTTAGCCCTAAAAATTTTCAATCGTCAATTTGAGATGAAAGAACCCATATTCTTATTATAATCTCTCACAATTCCACTGGTTATTATTTGTCACAAGCCAATATGCATCCGAGTCTTCTGGCACGTGCTGGTTACCGATTGCAAGACTACCTCTACTCCCATTGATCCTCAGAATCGTCTCACTCTTCTAGATGGGGATCTTCTCTCTGATCTATTCATCCCCGGGCGTAGGTCGCGTTGTATCTCGCTGG